TAGGTATAGAGACCCAGGGTAGCTATAGTGCAGCTACCAGGTATAGTACTTCAAGTTCCCTTTCCGTCAACCGCTCGATAGCCTCTACACACGCACAGCAATCCACAGCTTTGAAGTCTCATTCGTGCTTTGAACTTGTGTAGGTGTGTAAGAGGTATAGCAGCATAGTATTTATACGGACCCAGGCTAGCTTCAGAAGAGCACTCCGATACTTCACTTACAGCACTCCTTGAAGAGCATGAGTCGCTTGCGCAGAGCCACCAGAAACAAAGGATCTTAGTCTTACTGGAAGTGGAATGAAACACCAGGACCTTCAGAATGACCTCTTTGGAGTCTCCAAGTGACCTCATTCGGGACTAAGTGACTAAGTGACCTCATTCTGGGATCTCGGACGGTCACTTTGAAGGTCCTGGTAGACACCAAATGATGTCAATGTGGATAGATTTGGCTACGGCCTAAAACATCGGACTCCATCCAAACCCCCCCCTGTGCAGAGGAAAAATCCGGGCAAAATGACACCGAACCCCTCAATTGCCAGGAAGCGCAGGTTTTTGTTTTGACATGGTTACCTCTGTGTGGGCAGAACAAGACATGAAGCAGATTTGACACGCGGCCGCAAGCAGCTGCGCGAGCTCATTTGCTTGCTTCGACGCGCAGTTGTCGAGAAAGGGAAGCGCTGGCTTTCGTTTTGCAGCTTCTCAGGTGAGGTTGTGCATGTTTGCATCTCATGCACCTCTTGTTCATGCAGTTTTGAACCGTCGTTGCTCTATAGACTCTATTGGGGGCGGGTTTTATTTGTTGCATTCAATCGGTCACGGGGATCAAAGATTTGATCAATATTCTATGTGTTCAACGGTTGATCCTGCCAGGGTTTCAGAGTCACAGGAGATGTTTCACCAGATGGAAGGGCAGAAGGTGGAGCCGGATGAGATTTGTTTCAATGAAATTATTCGGATCCACGTCAAGCAATCAGCTCCTGAGAAGGCCAAGAATGCACCTTGGTGATTGGTTCCTTTGCTTTACTTTGATGGTTGTAGCTTGCAGAAGGGCAGGACCATTCACTAGATTTTGAGATATCTTTGAGATACCCACAAGGGATCAATGCTGCAGGAGTCCAGACTGTGTTCACTACGCCCAGGTACTTGCCCAGATGGCCCAGCGACACTTAACCCCAACGGTGGTGAACTTCAATACTGTCATGGATGCTTGTGCCAAAGCGGGCGAACCACTCTTGGCCAAGGAGGTTCTGGCTGAAATGCAGGCAACGAGCAGCCACTGCCCAGATACTTTTCGTGAAGCTGTTGTTTGATTCGATGTGCTATTTTCGTTGTTCACGCAGCATTCGCATTTCTTGTTTGGCCACTTAGGATGTTTACTCTTACTCGGCTTTGGCAGCAGCATGGGCAAGAAAAGGGGATGCTCTTGAGGCATCAAGGGTTCTAGATGATATGGCTGGCCAACGCTTGGTGCCGAACGAGCATGTCTATGGGGCGGTGATCCATGCATGTAATCGGAGCCGCGATGCCATTCGTGCGACGCAGATTTTACAACGGATGAGCGAAGAGATGGTCAAACCCAACGTCGTGTGCTTCAGCTCTTGCATCCTCACTTGTGCTAAGGTTAGGGATGCAGCTGGAGCAGAAGCTCTCTTCAGCGCAATGCCTGCAAGGAGAGTGGAGCCCAATGCCTTTAGCTATGCTGCAGTAGTACATGCCCACTGTGCAGCTGGTGACATTGAAACTGCCTGGCAACGTCTTCGCAACATGCGCCATGCTGGTTTTGACATCACTGTCTCCACCATGAGACCGTTTCTGAAGGCTGGCATGCATGCCGGGCCAGAGGCCACCTGGATTCTTTGCAACTGAGTTGTTTTTGTTTTCTTCTTCAGTGTTGTTGACAAGCATTATAGTATTGTCAAGCATTGTGTATACAACGCAGTCGTTTATATGATCATGTCAATTCCTGAGAGTATGTTATGTTTTTAAATATATAGTAAGAGCTTGTCGTAGCAACTTGTCAGTCACGCTTGGGTGCTGTCATAGGAGAGATGCTCAAGATATGTCGAGATGTCATATCCCGATCATATCCCCATGACTTTTTTGGAAGTCTGAGGTCATGAGATGGGTGTTCGAGGCGATGTTACAAAACAATCTTCCATTTGACGATGAGTTCCGCGAAGGTGTGATGTCAGTGATAGGTGTTGAGGCCGCTTATGCCTTGCTCCGCAGCTATGGTCGAATTTGAGGCCGCAGCGACCGCCCGCCATCGCAGTTGCAAGTCTTCCATACAGATGTTGGTTGATGAAAGCTTAAGACACAATGATATTCATCATCACAGATGTCAGACCCCAAGAGTCCGACATTCAGAGATCATGGCTGTGTCTTGAAGCAAGTGGCCCAGCTGCAAACGCAACACGCTGCATGCACAGGCTGGCCGTGGTGCTTGGCAAGAAAATCATGGATCGAGCTGGCTGCTAGCTTTAGGGATTGTAGAATCTACAGTCGTAAAGAATAACAATTGATTCAGTCCTAAAAGAAGTTAAAGGTTAAAGCACATTTATTTGATCATCCACCAGGATTGCTTTTGTGCAGCCGCCCAGTGTTCAGTCCCAACTCCACCGCCTGCCCCCACTTGGCGACCATGGCCCGTTCTTTGAGCTTTCTCCCTGTGGCGCTGCTGGCACTGGGCGCTTGGATGTTGAGCTCCTTGATGCCCAGCCAAAGCGGCTTTGTGAACTCAGCCACCCCCAGGGCTGGGAGCAAGATGGCCATGCGGGGCTTCAAGGATGACTTCTATGCCTGGAA